AAATGTATATTTAGGAATAGAAAGCTTCAATTTCTTTTAATTAATTTTTGAATGTTATGCAGCTTGTATGAACCAGGCTAAATTTCAAAATCCAAGAAAAGAGATTTGTACAAGTTTTTTGTCAAGATACCAGAAAAGCAAAATGTTTAAATTAAAGTATTACCTTCTGAACCTAAGCAAAGCCCTTGAAACTCTCTTTGTGCTTCTTTGACTTTAGCAGACTGAAACAAAAACACAGAGAATGATCATATAATATTAAAGCTGCCAGTGAAGAAGTTCAAAGCCTGCAAAGATGTAATGAGATTKTTCAGAATTTCTTTGATATTAAAAAGATTGTTCTTTTTTTTTAGAGCTGAGCTTTTGCAATTGGCAGCATCATCTGAGATACAATAAAGAAATCATACACAAAGATGACTCAAATGATTGACAATAATCCATCCAGATTTTAACATTGTATTTTATAGCTTAATAATTAAATAATAATAATAATTATTATCATTATTATATTGTCTGATAGATTTTAATATTTGTATTTGATAAAGCTTTATTGTGCCCAGGGCTCCAATTGATATGATATAAATAAATAAATAAAGTCTTTTAAATAAAGTCTTTTATTTTGAGAGGGTAGCACGTAATAGTCWCKAGRCTAATAAACTTGTGRCCCTCTATATATTCACTCATACTCACTACCTCAACATTCATTATATTTTTACTACACGACACTCCTCACAGCTAGTTTTTGACTGAGGGAGGAAAACCAGCGGACCTGGAGAAAAACCCTCGGAGCAAGGAAGAGAACCAGACTACAAACTCAAATCACATATAGTCCAGGACTGGGAATCGAACCAGGACCACAGCGGTGATAGACCAGCGTTTTAACCGCTTGGCCATCCTTGCTCCCCTAAACTACTATGAATATGCAACTGATGGGACCATCCTGAGCTTTATAATAAATTCGGTTCATTCTTCAATTGGATTTTAGTTTTATAATGACTTACTTTGTTGTCTTCTCTGCGAAACCAGTGCAAGTAGCTAGATTCTGGGATGACGTTTGCTTTAGTTGGGTTCTTGTGGCAACGGGGCTTCAACAGTTCCTTTTCTGATAAAAAGTGAGCACAAGAATCTCTAGAACAGWCCATCTTGTTATGTTTTGTACAAGGTGCAGCATCTTCACAGATTGGACAACGGATGCCAAACTCAAACTCCAAGTGTTTCATCCAAGGAAATGATTCCATCATTTTTGGTAAAGTTTCTCTCAGAAACTCCACCAGAAAAGCACAGAGTTCAAGAAATGATTCCCTTTGATCTACAGGACTTCCTGAAGTTTCTTCAGTGACCACTGCAACAGTGATGGTTTGGACATCAGATATGAAGACCAGGCTCAATGTGTCATCGGCAATGTAATATCTGTTTCAAAGATAACAGAAATTGTGGTTCTCAATGATATTTCTGTGAGAATAGATTACACATTCAAGTAGCACGGAAGGTTCTTTTTTGGAATTGAATGATGCTACATTCAAAATCACTACTGTCATTTCTTCAAAGTAAGATCATCTAGGAAATTTACCTTGCAAAGTTTTTTGAGAGATCTGGTGGTGTTGCATCTGTCCATTTTGAGGTACACATCTTATAWACAGCCACAAAAAGTCTTGGAAAAACGCCAAAGGGAAGGTGTGAACTGTTAAATCGAATTACCAGTGGAGAAGCCTTGTCATCTTTTATCAATTCATGGCATTCTGGAGCGTTCAACAGCATAGCAGGAACYAGATATGATCCATCCTGTTGCTTRCAGATGAGGGAGAACTTTTCCATCAAGTTAATTATTGACTGAACTGGTGTGTTGTCACCTAGAAGATCACTCCAGAGGTACTCCAGAAATTTGACTTCAATGACTCCATAGTGTTCAAGTTTTCTCCATTCATCACGATAACCATCATGATRCTCAATTTGCGGAACAGTTATAACTTTAGAGAACATATCGAGCAGCCATTGTGTATCAATAATAATCATTTCMATTTCTTGGAAATGAATTATAATCCTTARTTCGTGCAGGAAACGCAAGAGTACTTGAAGCTCATCTGAGTCAGCTATTTTACAATCAATAGCAATGGTTTTGGCATCTTCAAAAGAGATGAACTTCTTTTGATTTACATTGACAAGACTGGTAAGCTTTTTTGCAAAACTYAACCATTTTATAGGAATTCCAGTAGTTTCTTTMCAYTGMGGAAGATCTCGAGCTTTCTTTGTTATATCAGCTTTAAGACGTTGTAYATCAGGRTCTTCWGGTCCACCAYTTCCAGAGACAGTGTTATTCACGAGGTAGATGCCATGAACAACCTGACGTCCAGGTGCAAAWTTATCTCTCGTGAGAGTATCAAGAATKGTTCTAGCAATCTGTTTGGCATCTTGTGAAGAGAGTTTGTCAGCATGTGTGCATACAACAAACACAGGAGAATCACMACATTTATCAGTTGAATTGGCAGCAATTAATGACAACCAGAATTCCAAATCATCCATGTTTGTCATGGGATTATGATGRTCAAGTGTTCTTTTTGCTGCTCCACATTTTACCATAGGAGTYGCTTGAGCATGTAAGTCATTTTYCAAATTATAGACTAGAAGGAAAATCCCTCTTGGAGGAAGGAACACTGGATGGGTGACACTATAGACTGGCTGTCCAGCAAAATCCAAAGTGTGTAAWAATAGATAGTTTTTCATAGCTTTTTCTGCATTAAAATGTTGAAGCATATTCAATGTATGAACTGTAACTTCATCCTCGGGAAAGCTATTGAGTTGGTTCATCATATTGTGATTCTCATGTTCATGTACACAATCGGATGCTGGTCGGAAGTGAGGCTGAGCATCAGTCTCATCACAATTATTGAGACCATCTTTAATCAAATTCACTGGTTCTGTCAACAGGCATTTCASCATTTCATTTGCTGCACAAAGATTGTAAATCATGTGTTCATCTGTTTCATTTTTTTCCCATTCACCACCATCTACTTTTGATAATGACAGCTGAATTTTTGCGCCAGTGGTGCTGTCTTCTGATGGATTAAATTTTTCTCCTGTGAAACAAAWGTGATTTTCAATGTAAGCTAATTCCATTTACTTGATATTTCCGAATATTTTAGAATATTAAATGAACAAAGTAGGCCACTAGCAAGCATTAAACATGTAAGTTAATTATGCTTTTTGTATAAATTGCAAGTCATTTTCCACAACATATCAAAAAGTCACGTACTGCAGATAATGCGTATGATATTGAATGTATAAATTACAAAAATTGTTTTGTCTTATTCTGACAGCCACACAATGCAATCTTTTCATGTACTTAAATTGTGAAATACATTACCATGAAGGGATCTAAGTAGACTTGTTTTACCAGAGCAAGATGGACCAACGACAACTATTGGCACTATGGAGTTTTCCCCAACCGTCCCAGCATCCACAGCTCTATTGTAGGCTCTAACTGCCATGGGTCCATGTGCAAGGATTTCAGGTATATCATGATCTGTGAATGGATGAAATATGGCTCTAAACAATGCTTTAAAGCCTAGAGGTAGAATGTTGCATGGACACAGATTAGTATGATAAGAATAAAAGAAGTCGATTATCACTTACACTGTCCTGAATTTTTGGCGTCTGTTCTGCAAGAAAAATTCACAATTATCCATTAAATGCTACAAGAAAATTGAAATTATTTTAAAGAATCAAATTAATTAGCTCTGACTGGCTGACTTTCGTAGAACTGCTGTCTTGAGCAGCCACAGCATCATGAATTACAATGTAATTGGTTGCTACTATTACAATCATTATAATAGTTAACTTATATGTACCTTGCGCTTCCTCTGTAAATCCATGGGAACTGTGCCAACTTAAGTAACATTGTTGTCACACCAAATTTATTTGAACTCGCATAAAGGAAACCATCCTAACAAGGTTTTTAAATAGTTAGTAATGAAAAGTAAAGGGATTGCAGCTTTGCCAATCATCTCATAACATWACTTAGTAGTTCTTTGAGCTGCAATTGTTAAAAAGAAAAACTAACCCATCCGCCATTTTCTATAATCCAAGTTAGAATGGATCTGTGGTCTCCAAAAAAGTCAGGAACTAAATACGGTAGCGTTTTTAACAACGCCATTTCAGACTTGTAATTTTTCACAAAATGATTTGCGAAGATGCCACTGAAAGCGAACAAGCCGATGATGTTGAACCAGTTTATTTCTCCATCAAATATCACCTCTGCGCAATGTTTGAATGTTGAATGAACAGTTGAAGGGGTCAAATGAAGACGTTGAACAATGTCTTTCGAAAGCAATATGCCCTCTATGTGAGAGGCCCCAAAGTTAAGTAAGCTTAAGCTTATCTGTCCCAAACTGGACGGCTGAGTTGAAACAGGAAAATATTGTTGTAAACTGGCTAACTGACTTTGATCGACCTCCAAGCTTATACGATGCCATATGTAATCTACTGATAACTGTAGAGATCTATAAAGAATGTTCACTTCGGCTTCTGAGAGAGAAGAACTCCGCAAACAATCACTCGAAGCTGCAGTCGCCATTGTCGCCTTCAAATACTATTGAATCCTTTGTCCATCGTACTGAAAAATAAGCTGAAATGAGTTCAAGCTTATTTCATATTTCAYAAGTTATGCATTTGCCTGCGTTAATCGCAAAAGCACTCTTAATATGGCTAAATAAAATGATCCACGGAAGTTAGATTTTGCTTTCACTCAAGAATGAAATTAGGGGAATACCCTGGAAGTCAYGTGATGCATTTACACTGTGGGGAGTGGGGTAAGTACGTATATATTCAACAGTTTATTTTGTTTTCATTTCTTATATTATAACATAAACATGCATACCAATACATTGAAATAACCTCCAGGCTTAGCCTGAGTATTAAAATAATTCACTGGAAGCTCCAAGAGTCTTATTTTTCAATAGTTTCATACCTACCAAAGGAGTCCCGGACAAACATTTTTGGAGTCCCTGTGTTTTGTGAAAAGTGGCGCCATGTCGCGCCATGCTGAAAATGCACTTTTTCCATAGATAGATTCGCGCCCTTTTCCCCTTTGTACCTTCAATTATCTGCTTATTTCATGAGAAATGATGGATGCAAGTGAACAAGAAACAAATTATCTCCGCTACGTCAAGGTTGCCCTTGTAAGTACTAAGTACTACATGCCGTAAATATGGGGGGAATTTASAGCAATTGCAGACTTTGCAAAGTTGTGTTCGCCATGTCAGACCTGAGCATCACAACGTTTTCGTTTCTAAAACTAATYTGTGCGTCATTACTTTTATTGGTCTTAAATTCGTTCCAAGTCAATGAAGAAAGCCAAAGATAATGCTTCGATGAAATATAGAGTTATTTTTTTAGCGCCTGCACTAGAATGACTGTATTAAGTTAATTGGTTTTTTTAGGCCAGTGTGATAATCCGAAAGAAACCCGCAAATAGCACAGCAAAGGAATATACTGAAACTCTCATGAAAATGTTAAAAGATAAAGATGTAGAAACAGATAAAAAGGTAATATATTAATTCATGCTCTGTTAAAGCTTCTATTTTCGTGAATAAAGTGAATGAAAAATTATTTTTTGAGTTGCTTCAATAACTCCATTTCAGATCAAAGATCTCACGACAGAACTCATTCATAC